CCTCATTTTTTTTCAGAATACTGATAAAAATGTCAACTAGAATTATTGTTGATTCCAATTTAAATGTTATAAGAAAATGTCTAAGTACATGTGATGATCAATGACCTCTGACAGAACTTTTAAAAAATTAGAATAAAGAAATGATGGCACCCTTTTAGAGAGGATTATATGATATAATATGAAGGTAAATGTGTTACTAACCTGCCTTAAATTTGTCAGAAGTATATTCTTAAAGGATGCATTTTTTCCCCCCAAGAAGCCTGACACATTACACAGAATCTGCTATGATAATAACACCATCCAGGCCTACATTTACTCAGCTAAAAGTTTATTTTTAGGGTATTAAAATTAAACAAAATCCTGACACAGTTCATATTATACAAAACATAGAAGCAAGAAAGATTTGGGTGCCTGGGTAGCTCAGTGGGTTGAGCCTCTGCCTTCAGCTCAGGTCATGATCTCAGGATCCTGGGATCGAGCCCCATATTGGCCTCTCTGCTCAGCAGGGAGTCTGCTTCCCCCTCTCTCTCTGCCTGCCTCTCTGCCTACCTGTGACCTCTCTCTCTCTCTCAAATAAATAAATAAAATCTTAAAAAAAAAGTAGCAAGAGAGATTTGATAATTCAACTAAATTAGAAACAAAAATGTAAAAACCCCAAATACATGTATCACTCAGTCATGATTATTTATAACCAATCTGGGACTGTAACAGACCCACATAATGACACCAACATTACGAACATTAAAATTATAATATCCTCACTTCTTTCCTTAGTTGTTCATGAAGCATTCAACTCTTATTTTCAACACAGAGCAGACTTTATCCTGAAAAGCCTCCTAAATTTTCCTTAGAAAAATTGCCAACATTTTCTCCCATCAATAAAGAGTCAATTTTAGAACTCAAGATTTATAGAACAATGACCAAATTCTGAGAGAACACCAAAGTGGAGATTCAATTTTATGAAAGTAAAAAGTTATTTTAGGCTTTGTTTCCAATTTAGAAAACACATAAAATCATAAAATGAGCAGAAAAACAATTCAGTGCGTTTCAACAATTCAATCCATTTACTTACTATGAACCCCAGTTTCCCTAAGATAACTGCAGTAGCATTGAGTGGGTTAACAAGAGAAAGAGTAACAGTGAGGTGGACAACCACAAGCGAGCATTCACATCTCTCCAGTCACCTTCACTGTAACAGGATTGATTACATGAAGGCAGAGCCATGACAATGTAAGAAACATCTATGAGCACAATAACCTTTAGCGTATATGTGATACATACCAATTTATCGTCCAGCTGTTTATGGTCATGTGTGTTATAATCAATCTCTTATGAGTCAACATCATCAAAGAAAAAGTTTTAGGTAGGAAGAGCCACTACTGACAGAATCAGCTTTTGGTCAAACATTTAAAACAATGAAATATTAAACCAAAAAGTATTTTCAAGTCTGTCTGATTAAAGTATTACCCAGCCATTCAAAATAACTGATTGGTCTTATTTTGGCAAAAAAACTTTGAAGTAAAAGATTAAATATTATTAGAGATTACAGGAATACCTCATTTTATTGCACTTCACAGATACTTTTTTTTTTTTTTTTAAACAAACTGAAGGTGTGTGGCAACCCTCCGTCCAGATAGTCTGCTAGCACCATTTCTCCAACAGCATTTGCTCACTTCATGTCTCTGTCTCTCATTTTGGTAATTCTCACAATATTTTAAACTTATTCATTATTATTATATTTGTTATGGTGATCTGTGATCAGTGATTATGACCTTCTGAAAGCTCAGATAACAGCATTTTTTAGCAATATTTTTAATCAAAGTATGTTATTGTTTTTTAGACATAAGGCAATTGCACATTTAATAGTCTACAGTATAGTATAAACATAACTTTTGTATGCATTGAAAAACCAAAAAACTTATTTGACCCACTTTTTTGTGATATTCACTTTACTGCACTAAAAGCTTTAGTGTGGTGGTCTGGAACTGAACCTGCAATATCTCCAAGGTAAGCCTGGAGAAATATATATCATGTCTGATTCTTGTATTCATAACTGCTTCTACTAAGCCTTTACATTTTGTTCAGTGTTGTTTACACTAAGTAAATGATAAATCCTTTTAAATAAGTATTTCTATGCCCCTTTAATTTGTGTTTTTTTCTGTCTCACAAACTAGACAATAAGCTTCTTTGGGGCAAGAGCTACAAGATCCCTCTATTTCCCTGAATGTTTATAAAAAGCTGTTTTATTATGTCCTGTATCCCTACCACTAGCCATAGACCTGGTATAAATAAATACTACATAAAATACATTTATAGAATGAAGAATTCCTCGTAACACATAGAATGCAGTCTTGCTTCAGTCTCAATCCTGTTTTCCGCCTTGCAGACAGAGAAAAAAAAATTGTTTTCATGAAGGCACCAAACAAACTTCATTGCTCTCATGCCAAAAACCCTTTCAGAGTTTTGCACTGCCATCTAGATAAAATAAAAACTCTTTAGGGCAAAATCCTCTGTATCTGTCCCCAGCTTACCACTTCTATCTCTGGCTCTCTATCCTCATCTCCCCCGCACCGTCCCAAGACAGGAAATTGCTGTACTGCTGTCTCCAAGCCTGGACACCCAGAGCTCCCTCTACTTGGACTGTCCTTGATCCAGCATTGCTCTGTGGATTTGTCTAAGATGCCACCTCCTCCAAGAAGTGTTCTGCCTATCTCCCATCTTTTTTAGCTGGCTTGCCCTCACAGTGCTTCTAGGAAAGAATGAAAATTTTGCTTCTCTGAGAATAGTGGTCACCAAATACGACAGAAAACGAAGGGGCACCTGGGTGGCCTAGTCAGTTAAGCATCTGACCCTTGATTTTGGCTCAAGTCATGATCTCAGGATTGTGAGATCAATCCTCGCATTGGGTTCTGCACTGGGTGTAAAGCCTGCCTCTTTAGATTCTCCCTCTTCCTTTGCCCCTCTCCCATGCTTGTGTTCTCTCTCTCTTCAAAACCAAAACCAAAACCAAAACCAAAACTAATATAAGTTGGAGGGGGTAATTTCTGGTGTTAGGATGACTGCAGAACATGTGATCTGGGATCAAATTTAGAGGCTGTACTGTACAAATATTAAAATATATAATTTCTTGAATTTAGGAATTTATGAAGGTCACAGATTATACTCTGTAAAAACCAAGGATCTGGAATGTTATATATATTTTATAATGTCTATATTTTTCTCACACGCTAGCAGATTCTGTCATATTAATAAGAATGACATAAAGAAAACACATCTATTAAAACACTCGCCTGTATTACCATATGCATTCATAAATTTCTGTCTCCTTAGAAGCAAATCTAACACTGATGTTTGTTTTTTAGTGTAGTACTTATGTCATGTATCTTAACTTTGATACCTTTTTGCAAATGGAATGCTAATATTATTTCATTTTGTTGGTATAAAATATGTTCCGTGAGAACTGAAGTCTTATAGATACACAGGTCACCATAAAATTACCATTTTCGGTCTCAACCTCATTATAATTTTGGAGACACTCAGGAATCAAAAGCAAATGTACAGAAACAGAAGGATAAGCGAAAATCACATTAAGTTCTGATTGGGAGAGTATAAAGGAAGTTGTGATAAAAATATCAGGAAGTCAGAGATTTGAAGAAGTAGTACAGAGTCTCTTGCTGGCTTTATAGAAGCAAAGAAACCTGTTGTGAACTGCTTGTGGAGGGGGTCAGGTGGCAAGAACTCGACAACTTCCCGGAGCTAAAAGCCTCCCCAGGCAACATCAAGGAAGAAAACGGGAACTGCGATCTTAATCTATAAGGAACTAAATTTTGCTAACAACCAGTGAGTGTGTAAGAGGACCTTAAGCCTCTGCTAATGTCACAGCCCCAACTGAAATCTTAAGCAAAGGCCTCAACTAAGTTTGCTTAGACTCCTGGCCCATAGAAACTATGAAATTGCATTGTTTTAAGTTACTGGCTTCATGGCAATTTATTAAACAGCAATGAAAAACCACTACATTATGCTTTATAACCAAGAAAATATTACTGTTACATGTGTCTGCTTACAAATCACATCTACATCGAAAAAAATTTTTTTTTCAAAATACACTGCCTTTTCTTTATAATCTAGCAATAGGCTTCCATTTTCATGAAATCTGGACACTGAATTTGTTATCAAAACATTTTATCTCCAGGCTTTCATTTAATTAAAAATATATCTAAAAGAGAAAACTGAATTTGAAAGTGTATTTCCCTAGCTTTTTGGGAACATATTTTATTTTTGGGGGGCAGGGGGTGCTGGAGGAAGGGGCAGAGGGAGAGAGAGGATCTTAAGCAGGCTCCATGCCCAGCGCAGAGCCCAACATACGGCTGAATCTCACAACCTGAGCCAAAACCAAGAGTTGGATGGTTAAATGACTGAGCCACCAAGGTGCCTCTGGAGTCCTATTTCAAAAACATATTATTTTAGAAAACATTTATTATATCCTATGCTTAGAAAAATAGATATACATTTAACGTACTTGTCTTTTCAGTATTTATGATAATCACTAAAATATATCATATTAAGGAACACATCATATTGTGAGAGCATAATGACTCATTGTGTGAACATTTTCATTTGATATATAATATATGGAGAAAGAAGAGATAGATGATTCACAGTCAAAACCTCATATAAGATTATATAATATAAATTCTCCAACATAACTGTTTTCATAGCTAAATCTGTCATCTAGTAAAGGTGGGGGAAAGAGTTTGGTGATATCACCCATCATACAATTAGAGGGCAAAATAAGCTACCTTTTAGTATTTTCAGAATTTAACAATTCAAATTTTATTCTGTGCTTCTGTCAAACAGGAAATTTGTAACTAAAATTTTTAACACCCACAACAGAGGTTTGTATTGTTAATTGCTTTATTAACCTTTTTTTTTTTTTTTTTTTGTAGAATTCCAAATAAAGTTTGGTCTTTTAAAAAGAAATCTACTTTAAGTTAGCCTACCTTCCACACTCAATGTCCCCATTTTAGACTCCAGGAAATCAAATAATGTGCTTGGTGCCGATGGCCTTGCATTTCCCAGTTCCTCTTCTTCTTCAGATCTTATTCTCCCCCTTCCTTTTCCTTTGCCTTAAGAAGTAAAGCAAGATATATTTATTGTGCATTCAAAAACAAAAGGAGAAAACACACTAAAATATAATCATCAGTCACCTTAAGTTTGATTTTGTATTTCTTTTCATATTTTTCTGTATATTCTATATCTTTAAAAAAGTTTTTAAACGATAATATACGTATTTTAAAGATTTTATTTATTTATTTATTTGTCAGAGAGAGAGAGAAAGAGAGAGAGGGAGGACAAGAAGGAGGAACAACAGGCAGAGGAAGAAGCAGGCTCCATGCTGAGCAAGGAGCTCAGTGTGGGACTTGATCCTAGGACGCTGGGATCATGACCCGAGCCAAAGGCAGATGCTCAAATGACTGAGCCACCCAGGCATTCCTTTAAATGATTATATTAACTAACACCTTTACTCCTCTAAATGATCTATTTGGAAATTTGAATTTGTTCATGTTCTCCTATCTTCTAAGAGAAAAAAATCATTTTTATAAAATTTTTCTTTAAATGCTTATCCTTTAAAAGAATATAGGATTAAGGCTTGAATGACTAAAGAATAACACTAAGTAAAAGTTATGCACTTGTTAATTTTAAAAAGTTTACAGACTAGTCATTTATGTAAGGGGCATAGTTCTAGAAATTATGAATAGATCTACTCACTTCATATCCTATTTTCTCTACTGCTTATCACAACCCTGTTAAATATTATCAGACCTACTATACACAAATTAGAGTAAGTTAAACAAGTCTCCATGGTTCCAAAATTGGTGCTCCTTCCACTTACCACAAATAGAAATGAATTTATAACTCCCACTCCCCCATGACAAACCCCAGCCAAAAAAGCAACCAGTATTATCTGGCACATTGCTTAATGAATTCTACCTCTCAGAGGTGGTCCTGAAACAGGTTTGTGTTTATTGCTGTTAAGAAGTACATTCAGTGCTGCTTCTAAGTTGTTGTCATTATCCATAAGAGCTTGCCTCGATGCTTCTTTACTGAAGCCCATTTCTGTTATGTGTTTCAGAGCCTTCTCATCAACCTATAAGAAATTAAGAGCAAAGCTGTGCTGATGGCCATAAATAAACAAGGTATAAGTTTTTAACCATACACTGTTTTTTAACTAAAAATACATCTCCTGCTTATGGAAAAATGTCATACTAATACATCACTCACTTGCTGCTTTTTCATATCAACAGTTAAGAAAAAATCTATATGATATGTGGAGTTGTGCCTCTAGTACTCTTTGACTTCACAACTACCGTAACAAATGCAAGAAAGAAGGAATGGAAGAACATATACATGCAAAAGAATTTGGTACTTAGTCATTAGAATAATTTATGTACATTCAAATTTACACTGGTATTTCAAATTGTCCTTTTGATGGTCTCCTTCAGTTTTGAATAATAGCTTTGTTGGATAATAGTTCTTGGTTAACAGGTTTTTTTTTCCCCTTTCAGAACTTTCAAGGTATCACCCCACTGAGTTCTTGCTTCATAGTTTCTGATCAGATATTGGTCATATATCTTATTCAGGATCCATTGAATTTGATGAATTGCTCCTCTCTCACGGCTTTCAGGATTTCTCTGTCTTTAACTTACAGCAACTTGATTATAATGTGTCTTGGTGTATCTCTCTCCCTAAGTTTATCCTATTGGAGTTCACTGAACTTCTTGGATTTGTAGATTCATAATTTCATTGAATTGGGAAATTGGGGGCCATTATTTCTTCAGATAGTCTTTCTGTTCCTCTGTCTCTTCTCCTATTGGGATTCCCATACATAATGTATACGTTGGTACATTTGATGATACCCCGTAAGTCCCTTAGCCTCTATTTTTTTTTCACTCTTCTCTCTTTCTGCATCTTAGACCTAATAATTTCAATACCCTTTATTAAAGTTCACCGATTCTTTCCCCTACCTGTTCCAATCTGATGTTGAATCTGCTAATTAGATTTTTTATTTCAGCTACTATACTTTTCTGCTTCAGTAATCCTATTTGGTTTCCTTTTATAATTTCTCTTTTTTTTTCTTATTATATTCAGTTAGCCAACATATAGTACAGGATTAGTTTTTGGTGTAGTGTTCAATGGTTCATTAGTTGAATATAACAACAAGTGCTCAGGTTCCCTACTTGTTCATATATTATTTTCTTGATTTCTTTTAGTTCTTTGTCAATGGTTCCCTTCAGACCTTTGAGCATACTTAAGATAGTTTAAAGCCTTTGTTTAGTAGGTCCAATGTCTCGGCTTCATCAGGGATGATTTCTCTCATTTCTTTTTTTCCTATGAATAGGTCATAGTTTGCTCATTTTTTATATGCTTTGTAATTTTTTGCTGTTGTTGAGAATTGGACATTTTGAATACTGTGTAATGGCAATAATTTGGGAAATTGGATTCTCCCTCCTCTTCAGGGACTGCTATTGCTAATAGATGAAAGCTGCCATTGTGAGTTTGTTCGGTGACTTTTCCAGACTTTCTTTGCAAGGATTACATTCCTTGAAGTCTCTGTTCCATTATCGCCATGGTCAGCCAGTAACCAGCCTATTTCTTCATCACTCATTATTCTGGATGCTCAAGGGTCTGACTACCAGGCTCCAGAGTTTTAAAATAGTTGTTTCAAAGAGTACTTGTCGGCTCAACAGTTGTTTGGGTGGTGGGGCCAATTCCTGGAGCTCTCTACTCTACCATCTTTGTGATGTCACTCTCTTCATGTGTTTAATCCTTACCACAACCCCAAACTGCTGGTCTCTGATGTTCTCTGTCTGGCAAGACATTCCCTAAAGAAGTATTCTCAATTTACTGAAGTTTGAAGGCCTCTTTAGTCAGGAACCATATTTTTTCAGCTCACTATATCTACTCTAACCTGAATATGTTCAAGGGAGAGACAGCTTGGCCCACATTTATAAACCCATTCTCCTTGGCCAATGACTGATTTAGAAGCAGACATGTGACCTAGCTCTAGTCAAAAAGACATAAATGGAATTTTCTGGAGATTTCAGAAAATATTTTCTTATCTGATAAAATAGACCCATACACTTTCCTTCCTGCCTTTGAACTTTTTGTGTGAAGTTTTAACACACAGAGAATCCTGTAACTCTGAGAAGAAAGCCAAAAAAATCACAGAGATGCCCACCAGCGCTTCAACATTGTTATACTGCTGAATTTATCAAACTTTATAACTAGTTATATTTCTAGTTATATGAAATTTCTAGTTATATGAAATAATAAATCCCTATTATTTAAGCCAGTCTTAGTATTCTGTGCCCTACAGATAAAATCACCTAAAGTCATTTAACTTCTAAAGGCAGAGCAAAATGAATTCTTGTCAGTTCCCTTATATCTGAGGACACTGCAGCATACCAGAAGTAACGTTGATGTCTACCATTCATCTTAAAAATCCAGGTATATTTTGCAAATGAGACCATAATATACATGAACTTGTTCTAATACATTTTTCCCACAGAGTGAAGCAAAGCAAAACAAAATTACTTCAGACAAAATGTGAGAAAGATGTGGGGAAGGGAAGGAATGAACCTGGTGCATCATCTTAGAGACTATAACCTCTATTAAATGTCCTCTATTTAATTTGATGGCTTTTTATCAATCCATTCCAAAAGGTGTTATTTGGACATTAGAAATTTAAGTAAAATGGAGGTTTTAAGTAAATCATCTTTCAATTAATCCAAATTTTCTATAGATTAACTATAATCCTTAATGAAAACCTTCTTAGAATTGTGAAATCTATTCACAATACACTGAACAAAGCCAGTGGTAGTTATGAGAGAGAACAGAAAAATCATCAAGGGAAGGAAGAACACATTAATTTTGTGGTTGATTCTTTAGCTTACCAGTTCTCTATAAACACCTTCATGTTTCCCCTCAGATTTGGTTGACTTTTCTTTTTGTAAAATTTCCCTATTTCGGTTACCAGCAGCACTCATGTTGAGATTACTTCGGGCACTACCACCACCTCCTCCAAATGTCTTGGTCTTGTGATAAGAGAAAAACAAAAGAGATGTAAGTAAATAACATTTAAAAATAGCTCTAAAGACTAATCTACAACAAAAAACACCTAGTAAAACTGAAGTACCTAAAACCTTCTTGATTATGTTTTACATGAAAAAAATAAAATGTTAACTAATTCTTTTTAAACAAATACCTACTAGCCATAATCTCTTCTTTCTACAAGTCCAGATGAAGCAATAAAAAAATTACATTAATTGAAATCTTTAAGTCTTTTAGGCAAGTCATCAGAATAAACTTAAGTAGACAACAATATAGAAGAAAATAAAATAGTACCAGTATAATGGAGATAAGGTATTAAAATAATTCTGGGTATAATACTTTACTGATATCATGAGACCTGGGTTGTATAGCAAGTCTATCTTTAGCAAGGCACTAAACATGTCTAGGAATCAGCTACATTATGTCTGTAATCCAGTAATATAGTTATATAATTTTTTTTAAAGATTTTATTTATTTGAGACAGAGAAAGCGCGTGTGCATGAGTGGGGGAGGAGCAGAGGGACAAGCAGACTCCCCGCTGAGTGGGGAGCTAAGAGTGGCGCTCCATCCTAGGATCCTGAGATCATGACCTGAGCTGGAGTCAGATGCTTAATCCACGGACTGCTTAACCCAGGTGACCCTGATTGTATGATCTTAAAAAGTAAACAAATAATATGAATTTTAATACTAGATTAAAACTCTCATTACTGATTTATTACTTACATTAATTATATGCCATCTTACCAACTATGTATGAAAACTTTAAAGTCCATTATTTCTTATTTTGTCTGATTTGCTTGAATAATTATGTTTAATCACCTCTGAAAATCAGATTTGATCTCATTTTTATTAAAACTATAGTGAAAAGACTAGAATGTAAAGAACATGAGTTTGGAAAGATATAAAATCATGACTGAAAAGCAACCCATAAGTTGTTACTTGTACAATATCAAATTAAACATCTGGTTATACAGTATCTTTATAGTTCTAAGAGATCTAATAAAAGAGGAAGAAGTGAACAGTTGCTTTTTATTAGTCATAATAATAGTTTTACACATGTTTTAAAATTATGACAGTAAGAAAACATCCTAGATATACATTTACATAACACTGAGAAATTGTTTTGAATCAGATGAAAATATAAAGAAACAAAACCTGAGAAATAAAAAAATAGTATGGGATAAGCATTAACTAGACAACATATTAATAACCGACATAACTGATTAGGAGTTGATACACCACAATATTTAAATTTTATTTAAACCAAAACTAAAACCACATCTTCAAAGACCATTCATTCTTTGTTTTATGCAATAGATTTGCAATGTCTTGAGGGTCATCACTTATAAAACCATAACGAAAAAATGTGAGTTTATATAGTTGTGATCTAAAGTTAATTGGACTGGGAGATGGTGTAGTATAGTTAACACAGGCTTTGGAACGTCACAAGACTGGGACTACATCTTAACTCAAACACTTCCTATCTCCTGCCTTCAGGCAAGTTACTTCCACCTTCCACAAGACAGGTTTCTCATTCTTAAAACATAGATGAGAAAACCTACCTAATTGGGACATTGTAAGAATTAAATGACACCAACAGCATAAAGTGACCAATTTAGTAACTGGCACATGGTAAACACAATCCATGGCAACATTTACTGTTTTGCTTAATATATTAAAACATAGTTACCTGGGAACTCTGGACACTGATGTATTCCAAATTAAATATATTTCTGGAATTTAAATTCCATAACTCCAAAAGTACTTTTTCTTTGGGTACTAGTGAAGCAGTCCCATCTTCTGGATGCTTTTCTTTATTATTTTCTTCCCATTTTTATGGATTAAACGATAGGATAAATTTTCAGAATTGCTTTTCACTGTTTTATAACAGTTGCCACTCACTAAACATATAAATACCTAGAAACAACACAACTTAAACACTATTCATAAGGTAAATGGTGTTGTCCTTTATGAGTGACACCATCTTGTCCATACTGTACATTTTAGGGATCCGTGAAATCACCATGACCATGACACTGGTGTGGGCCCTTAATGCTCCCTAGCAATCTTACTATATTTCCCTAGCCCAACTATCTTCCCCATCTACAAGACTGCTAATTTACATATTACCCTTACTCCTCAAACCTCCAACATCTTCTCCTCCATTGTTACTACTGACCTTGCTTACTACCTCACTGAAAAAAATGAAATAATCATTACAGAACTTGCATAGATTTTCACCACATCAACTCACCCACCAATATCTGCATACTCACTTTCTCTTAGCACTGTATATTTTATCTTACTACCATCCACATGAATGTCTAGAGGAATCTAGAGGAAATGAATCCCCCAACTCTACATTATTTCTTAGACCATCTCACATGATCTTTCAAAAGCTTTTGACGCATTCAATACCCCTTTCTCCATGATGCAATTTCTGAATTCTTTTGTTTTGATCCTATCTTCCTGGTTGCACCTTGGCTGGTTCAATTTTTTTCACACAACCTCTAGTGCTATAAGGGTTCATTTGTTACCCCTTTTATCTTCCATTCAGCACTCATTTGGTGATCTCATTTGGCCTCATGATTTTCAAAAGGCATCCATAGATGTCTACAACTGCCAAATGTGTATCTCTTCTAAAGCTTACTTTTTCAATTATACTCTCCTGTCTCACTGCCTATGAAGCCACATGGATGTCTCACAGGCACACTTCAACATTAGTATGTTCAAAACAGAATACCAAATCTTTATCCTCAAACCCATTCCTCTATAGTCTTCTCCAATTCTAAGTAAGCAACTCTAACCTGCCAACTTCTTAGGGCAAAACACTTGGAATTATTCATGACACCTCTTCTCATGTACCACATTCAATATCTCAGAAATCATGACAGCTCTACTTTTAAAATTCCAGGATCTGACCACTTGGCACCATCTATACAGCTGCCATCATCATTCTGGCTATCATTATTTTTTCCTCCCTGGATTACTTTAATAATTTCCTACTCATCTGATTCAATTTTCTCTAAAATCCACTCTGAACCTAGCAGCCAGAATTAGCTTTTTAAAGTTGATGTTACTACTGTACTAAAAACCCTCTAAAGGCTCTCATTTCTCTCTGCATAAAGGTCAGTGTTTTTAACATGACTTACAGAGACCTACATAAGCTGACCTCCATTATCACCCTTGACTTTATATTCTACCTCTGGTCCCTTTGTTCTCTCTGCTTCCACTGGCTACCTTTCTATTCCATGAACATATACTCTTGCTTTAGAACGTTTGCAAAGGCTTTTTCTTCTCATGTTACCATATAGCTAATTATCTTACCTCCTTTAAGTCTTGGCTCAATTCTCATCATCCTGAGACCTAATCAAATTACTCTATTTAAAACTGAAATCTACAACTTACTTATTTAGCATGTTTATATTAGTGTCCTTACTAGAATGTAAACTATAAAAAATTTTAAAAGAATTTTCAATTTCTGACCATCCTATTTTACTTATTTTTTTAAAAAGATTTTATTATTTATTTGACACAGCGAGAAAGATAGTGAGCGAGAGAGCACAAGCAGGCGTAGTGGCGCACAGACAGAGAGAGAAGGAGAAGCAGGCTCCTGGCTGAGCAAGAAACCTGATGCGGGCTCAATCCCATAACTGTGGGATCATGATCTGAGCCGAAGGTAGCCACTAAACCAACTGAGTCACCCAGACCAGGTGCTCCTGACCATTGTATTTTAAAGTGCACCCTACCCTCAACTGGCACTCCCAACTTCCCAATCTACTCTATCTTTTTTCTTCCTATAGCACTTAACCAACATCTAACCTACCACTTAACTTACTTATCAGTGTGCTAATTGTCTCCTTTACTAAATATATAAGCTTAATATGGGCGGGGATCTTTTGTCTATTTTGTTCATTGATTTAACCTAAGCATTTAAAACACTCCCTAGGGGGCACCTGGGTGGCTCAGTTGGTTAAGTGTCCAACTCTTGATTTCAGCTCAGGTCATGCATGATCTCAGGGTCATGAGATTGAGCCCTTGTGTCAGGCTGGGCATGGAGTCTGCTTAAGATTCTCTCTCTCTCCCTCCCTCTGCCCCTCCTTACCCCTCCGTGCTCGTTCTCTTTCTCTCTCTCTCAAAAATACACAATAAAATATAAAACACTTCCTAGCATATAGATTTTCAAAAGATATTTGCTGATTAAGGAATAAAGGAAAAAATAAATGAAAATCATGACTTGATCATGTGCAGTAGACTCCACCAAATCCATGTGTTTAAACAGATATCACAAAACATCTTTTCAGAACAATTACAGTGTTATATGATTTTGCTGTTCAGACATTTAAATATAAATCTCTGTGTGTGTGTGTGTGTGTGTGTGCACGCGTGTGCATGCAAGCATACTTACCTATATAGAAGGATATATAGATATAGGGGTAATCTACTATAATGCACATAGGGTTAGTCCTAGATTTGCCAGTAACACTAAGCAAGTTTGGTTAGTTTTGAGCCAACAGCAGCTCTCTCATATACAAATTGAGAAGTTTTAAGTTTTTTCAGAAAACTAGAATTCTTTATTTATCAAATATTATGGAAAGTATAATGTGATCAATTATGACTTTAAAAAAATGAAGCATATTACAGTACAACTATATTCCAGTAAATAGCTATAACCATATCAAATAAAATTTTGGGAGGAAAGTTTGTGTGAGAAAAATGTGCACCAAAAGAACAACTTTCCTATAATCATTAAGGAATTGATATATACCCAGTATACTCTTTTTAAACTCCATAATTTTAATAGCCTTTTGGGAAAGAAGAAATTTATTTTATATGAACTATGTAAAATGCATTAATTTCAGAATCATTAAAAGCGATTTTTTTTTAAATGTACCTTAGCACATAGGAAATACTGAAGAATAGCAATAGTCACATCTATTGAGTGCTTTTAGTGAAGGAAAATTTGATCTGTGCCATGCAGGATTCTAAATGTTTTAAAGATTATCAATTTAATTCTCACAGCAACCTTATGAAGTGGGTACCATTATTATCCTCTTTTCATAGATGAAGGAAAATAAGGCACAAAAAACTAAGTAATCTAACAGCAGGATATGCTTCTGGGCTGTCTGATTCCAGAGCTTGTGCTCTTGGACTCTACAAGTGACATATGATGGAAAGACATTGCAGGAGAGAAAAGTATAGTCTGTTAGCAAGAATTATCAAGGAGAGGGCGCCTGGGTAGCTCAGTGGGTTAAGTGTCTGCCTTCAGCTCAGGTCGTGATCCTGGAGTCCTGGAGTCCTGGGATCCAGTCCTGCATCCTGAATCAGGCTCTCTGCTCAGCAGAGAGTCTGCTTCTCCCTCTCCCTTGTCAGCTCCTCCCCCCATCCCACCCCATGACTCATGCTCCCTCTCTAACTCACTCTCCCTGTCACAGAAAAAAAAAAGAATTGTCAAGGAGATTAAGAAAAAGAACACAGGAGCAAAATGTGTAAGCTTAAGACTCCATTAGTTACTGTGGCATTTCTATTGATAAAATATTCAAGAAGAATGTCAAAAGTTTGTTGAATTAGTTACCTTACATGAAAAGACAATAATGATTCTGAGTAACCTAAATAGAACATACTGACAAGAAATAAGAGAAATTTATAATGATTTAGTTTCTTACTTCTTTGCTCTTTGCAACTTCCGCAATAGCAGCAGTCCTCTGCTTTTCAAATTCATCGTTATCATTTGTAGGTTTGACAGGCATCGTAACTTGCAATGTCTTTCTTCGGTCAAGTTCTCTACTATCCACTTGGACATGAGATATGCACTTCTGGTAATAATAAATAAAAACAAAACACTTCAGTATTTCCAAAAGAGATTAAAGTTTTTCATAAGAAAGTAATACCTTAAAAGAACCGTTTGTGTCACTGACAACTGAGAGCTCATAAAACTGTAATTCTTTCTCACAGATTAAAAAAAAAAAGTAGAAAAGTGATTAAATTGACTTTTAAATAAATGTAACAGTTAAATAAAATGTAGAGCTACATAAAAATGTGGCTATCTAAAATAGGGCACATATTTAAAATACACATTGAACCAAGAGATTTAAGTTGCATTTGAAACAACTGAAACTTGAAACAATTATAAATTTCAAACAGTCTGTACTACTGTACAAGAAGAGATAAGGTCAGTTTTTTATTAAGAGTTTGATTTCTGTATTATGCCACAATATGCATCTGAGGATTATTTTAAGTAGTATGGTTATTTTAAATATAAAGAGCTGTCTCTGAACTTATAAACCAAAAACTAAAAATGTACCTGTTCTCTCAATCAGGCTACAAAGTTTTTGATTTTTAGTTTCATAAGATAAATTAAGAAAGCTATCACTGCCTAAAAGTAAGCCCCAAGTTCTACTCTCCCTTCTAATCCTCGCAGTAGAAATCCTATAAAATGAACCTTGTCTCAATTTAATAATAAAAAGGAAAACATGCTCTCAAACAAATACCTTAAACAAATACAGATTTTCAGCAATATAAATATATCCTGTTGATACCAGAATACATCCAGCATTATCTATCTTTAATTCATGTACAAGGCTAAGATAAACTGAATAAGATTTTTTCAGAATGGACTTAATAAAAAATAATATGATCGAAACCATAACTTTTATTATATTTCCTAATTTAAAAAACTAAAATACACTCTTCATAATCTTGAAAATAGATTATAAGTCTCTCTCAGCAATTCATGAAAGAAATATTATCACCAAAATGTTTAAGAGGAAAGCAAATTCTTGCAAACATGTATTTATTAAATTCAAATGCCAATTATTAGACTGCTTATGCTCTGTTTCCATTCTGAAGGTTTACTATATTGGTAGAAGAGAGAACAGCATCAACATGGGTCAGACTATAGGGCATCATGCCTCCTTTCATTTTGACCATGCCTGGCTCCAAAGCATGGTAAAATTGGCATATTTTTAAAGTATTTTCAAAATAGTCATGATGCACGAATGACTTTAATTTTGAGTTGACCCTACAAAAATATTTTTGGAAAAGGATGCCAGTCAACTGACTCTACCCATTTATCTGCTGATCAGCCAGATGTTTTTTTTTTTTTTTTCACAACAAACCAAACCAAAACAAAACTGTTATGATGTAGCTCTATTTCCTACCTGTTGTGTCCCCAACTCATCTTCACTCTGAGCTAGCACGCTCGAAGAAAAATAAAGAGCAAATGCAAGGCAGATTCCTAACAGCTAAATGCTGGTGCCATCATGAAGTACAGAAAAAGCTGCCACAGGCATTATTCTCATACTCAGCAGGGATAAAGTAGGGAAAGGCTGCGGGAGACTGTTGTGAATACAATTTGACACTGAGTACAATCAGGATGACCCAAGATACCTGCCAGCCAAGGTGCTACTTCAGTGTAACATTTTGCAGAAGCTGGGTTGAAAAATAGGAAGTGGCACACTTTAAGCGTTTATGAGAGAAGGATCAGGGCTGCTGTGGTTAAAGAAATAAGCACCAAATAGAAATGATATTAAGTTCTCGCCTGAGATGGGTATTTGGATCAAGGCAGAAGAACAGAATCCAGGGAAGGACAGCTGGGACAGCAGGTCCCACTGAAGTGCAATGAGGCCCTTCCCTGCCTCTGCATTCTCACGTTTATGTTTCATCCTTCTGTTGACACCTTCATTTTCTCTCTCTTGTGTTTCCATGACAAAGTGGGAAATTACAGCATACATTTGTCCTCTTAATTTTGAATTTCTTTTTTCTTTCTCTCTCTCTCTCTCCAAAAAAAAAAAAAAGCCGCCCCATCCTATCTTAATTAGTTCTAAGTTGCTGCTCTTCAGGTGTGCCTCTTAATTGTTTCAATCTTTGGGTTAACAAGCTCTTGGGAAAAGAATCTACACCAACAATTTAATTAAGAAACTCCACAATTACTAAATTTCTGTATTTAATATATTTCCACATAATTCCCATGACCTCTAAATGAACAGTTCAGCATAAAACTAAACAAGTTTGAATACAAATGAAAAACAATTTTTTGCTAATTAAAATTCATCTGCCAACATTAAAGTCATTACCTGTCCAAAAGGCACAAAAGGAGGTGGTCCACCTTCAGTTCCAATATTACTTCTATTGTGTTTTGACAAGCTCTGTGAGAAAAGTGAGTCACAAAAGAGAAATTATACCATTTACAATGTACCAGGAATCCACTTACTTTAGTAGATTATACAGAACAGGAAAAAAGCCTTCTATAAATTATTTCAAACTACATATTTTATGTAATTAGGCAATAACTAGGCAAACGTTCTCCTCTCACCTCCCCATACTAAACTACACATTCAAATACAATTTTCAGAAGCACCTATTAACCTGCTCCCATAAAAGGAAAACTTAACTAGTTAAAAAGAACAAAACAAAACAAAATCCTCCTCAACAAGGGGTAAATTCAAGACAACAAACATTGGTAATAAGAATTTTACTTTAAAGCATATTAAACTATAATCTGACAGAAAACATTACCTGGAAATGATCTTCAAAATAAATTTTTAGACATAAAATAGATGTAAAAACTATTAGCAAACAACATACTTGTGATGGTATGATTAAAAAAAAAAAAAAAAATATATATATATATATATATATACTTGGTCCTCTTCCCCAGTTCCTGGAACAGAGCTCCTAAAACTCTTTGAATTTCCTGAGTGATAGGGGTGAGAGGAGCATTTTCTGTTACTCATAATAAGCTTCTTTGAGGATACCAGAGTTTATGCTAATGAGACAGCTATAGATGGGTCCCCCCAGTAGCTCCAGGATGGGGGCTGGTTGCTAGAGGCACCAATAATGTGATTAGAAGGTAGAAGATAACAAGATGGGACTGGGAGGGAGACAAACCATAAGAGATTCTTAATCTCACAAAACAAACTGAGGGTTGCCCGGAGCGGTGTGGGTGGTGGTGGTAGGGAGAGGGTGGTGGGGTTATGGACATTGGGGAGGCTATGTGCTATGGTGAGTGCTGTGAAGTGTGTAAACCTGGCAATTCACAGACCTGTACCCCTGGGGTTAATAATACATTATATGTTTATAAAAAAAAATTAAAAACACACACACACACACACACAAAACAACAAAAAGGAAGGTAGAAGACCTTCTTAGAGTAATTTAAATTAGAAGAACTAATCACCAATGTCCAGTGGTTTAGTCAATTATGCCTATATAACACGTCTCCTCTGAAACCCTAAACAATGAGGTTCAGAGAGTTTCCAGACCGGTGAACATATCCATGTGCTGGGAGGGTAGAACACACCCAATTCTAGAAGGACAAAACTCCTGAGCTAGGGACCCTTCTAGACCTTGTACTTCTTCTTCATCTGGCTGTTCATTTGTATCTTTTGTAATATCCTTTATCATAAACCTGTAATAGTAAGTAAAGCATTTCCCTGAATTCTGTGGGCCATTATAGCAAATTATCAAAACTGAGCAGGGAGTCATGAGTATCCCCAATTTGTAACCACTCTGGACTGAAGTGTGGGCAACCTGGGGACCCACTATTTGCAACTGGCATCTGAAGTGGTGGACTAATTTTGTGAGATTGAGTCCTTAAGCTGTGGGGTCTGTACTAACTCCAGGTAGTGTCAAAATTGAATTAAATTTTAGGATATCCCTGTGGTATCTATAGAGAAGCAGAGAATTGCTAGGTGTGGAAAGTTCATACTGTTGGTGTCAAAGTGTGATTAGCAACAGTTCTTAGGGATACTTACGATAAAAGTGATTTCTAATTATTTAAAGAGATCATATTATTATAGTTTCTGATATGGAGGTTACTTTAAATTATGGTAAAATTCCCTCAATAAAGTCTTGTTTTTCAAATCAATTTATACTTTGAAGAAGTAATTAGCCCACTGTTCTTTAATAAAAATAAGCTTTCAAACCCCACCAATTTCGGTTTCCTTTATCTCCTTCTTGCATTTAAGACTAGAGAGATAACAGTGCATTATAAAAATGGGGAAAAAAGATCCTCCTAGTAAAACAATTTCTCACATCATAAAATCTTTCGAAAACATCACAAGGAATCATCTGAAGGACTCCTTTCAGTCAACTCCTCTTATCTGTTTTATTTTTGAGGTGTTAACAAATGTCTGTTAAGCACTAGTTGTCATTTAATACATCTTTTCAACTTTAAATTTTTTGTGCACCTTTAATAATTATCATTAGAAATTGCTATGTTTAAAATATGTTGTTAAATAGTGGATGCAAAGAAGTTTTAAAAAAATCATCATGTGCACTTTTCAAACATGTTCTAGAGTTCCCAAATTGTATAAAGAATGCTATGCATTTTAGGTAATTTATATAATGAATACTAAGACTAGGGGTGCCTGGGTCGCTCAGTTGGTTAAGTGTCCAACTTAAGAGATGGTCCAACTTATAAGATGGAGCACCACATTGGGCTCCGTGTTCAGTGGGGCGTCTGCTTGAGTTTCTCTCTCTCTCTGCCACTCCCCCCATTCACGCTTTCTCTCTCTCTCTCTCTCAAATAAATAAATAAATCTTTAAAAAAAGAATGCTAAGAGTAAAGGCAGTAATATTATTCAGTTGATTAAGCAGAGTAATTTGAACTGTATAAGAATTTCATATTTCTTTACAAGCTATGCTTAAGATTTTAAACTACTTTAAAAAAACAGCAAATGCATACAATTATCTAGGGTCTTTTCCCAGCTTCAGTTTAGATATAAGAATAGGATTATTTAAACATCAATCATTTCAATTTACACTATAATTTCCTCAAAAAGCTCAAATAAGCTGCTAATAATGCCATCTCTCAGTATACATTATAGAATTCAAACATAGGATTTCTACTTCTCATCCTGACAAATGCACAAAAGTCAGACTTCATCTCCCTCTAGAAACAAGTAGGAATCTGGACAAGATGTAAGAAACAACTTTTTTTTTTTTTTTAAGATTTTATTTATTTATTTGACAGAGATTACAAGGAGGCAGAGAGGCAGGCAGAGAGGGAGAGAGGAGGAAACAGGCTCGCTGCCGAGCAGAGAGCCCGATGCGGGGCTCGATCCCAGGACCACGAGATCATGACCTGAGCTGAAGGCAGAGGCTTTAAACCACTGAGCCACCCAGGCGCCCCAAGAAACAATGTTTTAAGGCATAGAACAATAAGTATTGCAGGACTATAATCCCTGAAAGAAAGAAAGAAAAAAAACAAAATGATGAACTCAGCATTTTTGCTCAGAAATATGATGCCGATAGAGAGCACAGAGAGTAACATTGAGAAAATGAATTTCATAATACAGGCAGGCTGACGCAACTTGAAGTTGTAGGGCAGAGTTTTGTAAAAGAGGGACCTGCAGAGAAAAGAGGCTCCAGAAACCAACATATGAATTCCCCAAAGTCATTACTGGGAACCAGAATGAATGAAAAACAAGAGCAAGTTGTAAGCTTCCATTTATAATAGCATCAAAAATACTTAGGGATAAACTTAAGAAACCTATAGACTGAAAACTATAAAAAATGCTGAAAGAAATTAAAGATGATAACAGTAAATGTAAAGATACCTTGTGGTCATGGATTGAAAGAATATTGTTAAGATGTCAATATTACTCAAAGTGGTCTAGAGATTCAATGCAATCCCTATCAAAACCCCAAAAAGTTTTTTTTGCAGATATAGAAAAATTCATCCTACAATTCATATGGAATCTCAAGGGACTGTGAATAGCCATAACTATCTGAAAAAGGCCTCACATTTCTCAATTATACAACTTACCACACATTACTATAATCAAAATAGCATGGTACTGGCATAAAGACACACATATGGAATAAAAGAATAAGGGACCCAGCATAAACCCCTGCTTGCATATATGGTCAAATAATTTCTGATGAGGGTGGACAAGACCATTCATTGGGAGGAGAGAAATGGTGCTGGGAAAATGGGTATCCACATGCAAAACAATGAAATTGGACCCTTAACTTGTATCATATAAAACATTAATTTAAAATGGATCAAATACTAAATTCAAACCCATGAAAGTCTTAAAAGAAAACAGAGAAGCGAAGTTTCAGGACCCTGGATTTAGCAATGATTTCTTAGATGTGACACCAAAAGCATAGGTAACAAAAGAAAAAACCATGAAATTAAACTTCATGAAAATTAAAAACTTTTATGCATCAGAGAACACTACTGACAGAGTAAAAGGCAACTCACAAATATGAAAAAATATTTGTAAGTCACACATCTGTTAAAGAACTGATATCCAGAAAATACCAAGAATTCATATGATAAAAAAACTAAACAAACCAGTTAAAAAAAGGACAAGGACTTAAACATTTCTCCAAAGAAGATAAACAAATGGCCTATGAAAGGCTACTAAATATTACTAAGAATTAAGGAAATGCAAATCAAAACTACAATGAGATTTCGCTTCACACCTATTAAGATGATTATTATAAAAATAAGATAAAATAAAAATGATTGGCAAGGATGTAGAGAAATCAGATCTCTTGTGCATTGCTAATGGGAATATAAAATGGTATAATCACTGATGAAAACAATATGGCAGTTACTCTAAAAATTAAACACAGAATTACCCTATGACTCAGTAATTCTACTTCTGGGTTACATGTCCAAAAGAACTGAAAGCAGAAACCTGAAAAGATATTTGCACAACCAAGTTCATAACAGCACTGTTCACAATTAGCCAATAGAAACAACTCTAATGTCCATCCATGGATGAATGAGGAAAATGTGTGTACACACACACACAAATGGCATAGTGTTCAGCCTTAAAAAGCCAGACAATTCTGACACATTCTGCAACATGGCTGAACCTTGAAAACATTATGCAAGTGAAATAAGTCAGACACTAAAGACCAAATATCCTATGATTCCATTTATATGAAGTACCTAGAGTAGTTGAATTCATAAGGACAGAAAGTAGAATGGTGACTACCAGAGACCAGGGGTGGCTGTAGGAGGGTTGTGAATTTATTTCTTGGGTATACAGTCCAGGTTTTGGAAGACAGAAATTCTAGATATGGATGGTTGTGATAGTTGTATTAACAACATAAATGTATTTAAAGCCACTGAATTTTACACTTAAAATGGTTAAAATGTCAAATTTTATGTTATGTATACATTACCATACATACATACCAAAGAAAATAACTAACCCAGATCTGTCATGGGAACAGGCTGAGGGACACTAAAATGTTACAGAAACGACATTGCTTGGTAAATTACATTTGGTTTAGAAATCTCTAAACTTGTCTTTGTCCAACATACAAAACATTTTGAGGTTTGAGTTTTTTTTCTTTTCATCACCTATCTATTACCAATTTGTTATAGCTATAACACCTGCACATGGTTTAAGTACTACCCAGTGGGGCACCTGGGTGGCTCAGTCATTAAGTTTCTGCCTTCCACTTAGTTCATGATCTCAGGGTCCTGGGATAGAGCCAGGACCTGCTCAGCTGGGAGCCTGCTTCTCCCTCTTCTACTCCCCCTGCTTGTGTTCTCTCTTTCACTGTTTCTCTCTCTGTCAAATAAATAAAATCTTAAATAAATAAATAAATACTGCCCAATGTCCCCTATTTATTTTATAAAACAGTTAGGGCCCTCTTTCAAAATTAACTCTATGGTTTATGGTTTCTTTGTGTACATCTAATTTCTAAGTGTACCACCTGCCAGATGCTTAAGTAACTGAATTCTCCATGGTTTCTACATCACTATGGTTACCAAACCAAAACAGCAACAACAACTATGAAACCAAAGAGAACTATAATCATATTAAGATGTTTTTTAACGCTTTTTAATGTAAATTTTTATTGCCTCCTAACAAGAAAAATAACACAGCTTTCAGGAAACAAAATGCAAACACAATATAATAAAACATTACAAGGACAACTATCAAACTACTACTGTGTGTGTGTATGCATATGTAGTGTATATTCTAGGGGTGAGGAAGTTTCTAGAAATGTTTAACTGACTTATAGTTAGTGAAGTAGTTCGCCAGCTGGGGTTGGGTAAATAATTTAAGGTACTGGTCTGACTTGAAAGCATCTTACCACATTTTTTTAAATCTCTAATAATAAAAAAAATAATTTATTAACTTGTGAATAGAGCGATATGAAATGGGCGGGATTTCTCTAGGAAATTCAAAGTTCATAAACGTGGCTATTTATGTAAAAGTATCAAGCCACTTCTGAATTACTTGCTTTTGAACATTTTAAGCTAAACAATGCAGTTATGGAACATTATCTTATACTGCATAGTACTGCAGGCCTAAATGTAGCACATTACTATCATAAGTAATGAATCCTAAGGAATAAAAAATATCCCTAAATTTCTTTACTATTTACTTCCCGAAAAGAGGCACTTTCAAACTATGAAAATAGAAAAGAATAACATATCATAAAATAGCAAAAGCTTCTATTGCTAAGGCCCCTTGGCTCATTCTAGGTAACAGGCAAGATTTGAGGGTAGCATAAGAACATCAATTTTATCAAAGAGTAGTTAGTTTTATGGGCTTTGTAGCTTACTCATTCCACAATCATTCGTTATAATGTTTTTCGTATGTAAGGATCAGGGCTCTGCTTTAGAGATACCGGAAGTCTGAGATCTATCACCTACTAGCTCTCTAATCATAAAATACATTATTTAACAGTTCTTTAAGTCCATTTTCTAATCTACATGGACATAATATTCCCTCATAAGACTGTCAGGAGGATTAGATGGTATACTGATTCAAGAGTCCAGCACAATACTACAGACTGTTCAATAAAATTCAAAGAATTGAAAAAAGGCACAAACAATTATGACCTCAAAAAGCTTGCAATCTATTAAAGAAGTTAAGTAAACATAATTTTAGTGTTAAGTAAAAAATAATATGCTTCCTGATACAAATAAAATGGTCCAAGAATTTCATAAGGAGAAACTACTTCACTTGGTAAAGAAGCAAGCATTTGACCAGGGTATAAAAGTGTGGGGACAATTTGGCCATGCAGGGATCAGGAGAAAGAAAACAAGATAAATAATATAAATGTGGGAAAAGCTTTCCCCCCCAAAAGTATAACTCAGGAAAGCATAGAGAATCAAAGAAAGAGTAAGTAGTTCCATTTGGCTAGAACAAAATCCATGTAAAATAATTTAGAAAGTTAAAAAGGAAAACTGGAACCAGGGCTAGATTGTAAACAGCCTCGAATGCCAAATTAAGGCATTTGAAATAAAAGCAGGGTATGTTGTGTTCTGAGTGATGCTGAAGGAAGATAATCTTGAAGAAATAAATGCAATAAATTAGAAGATGGTGAAAGGGTATATGGAGAGACCAGCGAAAAGGCTACTGCAATAGTTCAGGCGAGAGATGCAAAAGACTTAAAGTAATCGAGTTGTGAATATTTTTAAAAATTTAAAAAATAGGCTAAACAAACAAACAAACCAACAAAAACAAACTATAGCAACAGCAATGGACCTGGAGAGCAAAGGACCAATTTAAGGTCTGACTGCAGTGGATCTATAGAATTCATTGCTGGAAGCAAACCAGAGACAAAAATCATTAGATAACCTAGATGACTAGGAGAATGAAGATATCACCAATATAAATGGGGAAAACACCAATTAACATGCCTAGGAAGACAACGTAATAATGATCTCTCCATTAATGTGAAAATCTATACATACAACTTGCTTTCAGTTGTATATATGCGTGGTTGTACATTAAGACAAATACACATTATATACATGTATATTCACAAACACTTTTTTTTGCATAATTATACACAGATACATTATACATAGTTTAGAAATGGTATCTTGGGAGTTTTGAAAACTTGTCAGTAAAGAATTACTTTTTAAAATATGTAATAAAATGTAGTAAATACTGAAAAATGACATCTGCTCAAGACAAAGAATATACTTAGATAAAGGTAGATAGTTTTCTGTAAAGATCACTGTCTTCCATTTGATTCAACTCTGACACAAGAGATTAGTTTTACTGTTCATTATGGGACAATCTCCTTAAAACACAGAATGCAATAAAAAAAGTGAAGTTTTATTAAAAGTTCAAGCCATTTTTCTTAGTTTACACTTACTCTCTGTAACTCCCATTTCTCAATAAGGTGTTCTACTTCACCACCAAGAACTGTAGTGTTAGAGTCATTCAAGAGCAGGAATCCATTTTTTATATCCACAATGCCTGAGAGCTTCACTTTAGTTCCAGGTGGTGTATTCAGGCTAAAGAAAGGAGGAGAGAAAAAAAAAAAAGAGTTAAAACACACTGAAGCTCCTTCCCCAAACTCAAATTTAGTCCTGAATCTGGTCAAGTTCTTCAAAACACACTCATACAAACACTTTTTTTTCAGGAGACACTGGCTATACAGTGCAAATAGATTACGTATAGGTAAGAGGTCAGAAGACCAGGTCCAAGGCTGTCACTTTTTACCTTACTGACAAATGAACTTCAGTTTCCCCATTAAAAACAAAACAAAACAAAACAAAAAAAACCCCACAATGTGGACAATAAAAATCACACCTCAGAAATTTGTAAATAAGAGTTATGAAAGTACCTTCTCATGCTGTACACAATATGCTGTACAAAGAAAAGATCTGTCATTTTTCCCTCCGAGCTTTGACAATGCATTGCAAAGATACACTATGTGCAAAATTAAGTTTCAGTACACAAAAAGATATCTGACCAGTAATAATCCTAGAAATTTTACATCTTTATGAGCTATCATAATGCATATAAACAATGCTCTTTTTTGTTAACCATCTAGTTAAAGATCAAATGAGTTGTTTAATTTAGTTTAATTTAATCTTAAAAGAACTTGTCTGTAATAGGCTAAATATTATTAGACTTAAGGCAAACAGTACACCATGATCCATTTTACAAAAACCAGAGAGGAAATGTTTATACCCCTACCAATTGTTTGTTAGAAGAAATAGTGGAAGGAACCATCTCATTACTGAGATTTATCCTAAAATAAAAGCATAGATACTGAGTCCCATCCCATCTCTTTGCATATGCGGCAAGGGATAAAGTACTCTCAACAGGAGTAAAGACCATTCTCGAATACTTAGAACAAATTAGAAAATAAGTCTGAAATGGTTTCACGTTGTCCACATTTTTAAAGCTCGGGATATTCACCATGTGCTGATATATGCAACAGCAAAATCAGTGGAAAGCATCAATATCATCGGTCTATTTTGAAAAAAAGATGATTTTAAAACAGTTATTAACAAGAAGAAATAGAATCCACTTGTTTTTAAAGCCTCAAAGATCTCATAGAAATCAAGACATTATCTGGTAAAAACTATTCTGAGGATCTCAAGCTTTGTCATCACATGTAATTCATGGAACAAATGGTCATGAACATACATAACCTAACCCTTAAGTGGAGAGCTCTGTGGTAGTAAATAACTAAGGACAATATTTATCAGACTTCAGTATCAGCAACAGTTGAATACAGTTACACTAAGTGAAGAAGTTTTTCTCAATTTTAGGCAATGAGCAGATCCAGATTTTCATAACTCTGTTCCAAAAAAAGTTTCAACTACAGGATGCTACACTCTTTACTTTAAAGAAACTACTCTAATTATTGAATTGTATCATTTACATAAGACTTATACTTCAAAACCATTTTTAGCCAATAATTTCTTACAAATTGATGAAGTTGGAAAATGCAATGAAAATCTAGAAACATAAATTAGCAATAAAAGAAACTACATAAGAACTTAAAAGACTGGATGCAAATTACAGGGACATTTAAGTTGTGATAATATAACTTGAAAACTAAAAGCTAATCTGAAAACAAATGATAAACTAATTTTTGTATGAAGTGACTGTACCTTTCTCAAACTCTCAATAGGTTAAGAGAAAAAGTTGTCAAATTATTTGAAGATGTACTTAAAATTTCATTAGGATAACTGATAAAAAGTCCCACTCACCAGATTAAATGATAGTTCTATGCCCACAAAAGGATAAATAGATGTTAAAATTTTAATATAATTTTTAATACACATCGCTGTCAAGGCCCTAACTAACCCTTATTCAGAGAGCATATTTTGATTTAATTACTATTTTTATTGGCACCCCAAAATGCCTCTACTCTCTCTTCAATGCAATTTTTAAAAAGCTATATAACAAAACAAATAAACATAAAAACAGTGAGAACTGGGTGTTTAAAAGTTGAAGCCAATCAGGAAGTAGAACAGAAGAATTGAAAAAAGCACCCCAAAGAAATGTAATGTCCACTGAAGACAACACAGTCCGTATCAGATCCTGGTGTATCCTCTCTACTGAATTATTCTACTTTGCTTCTAAGCTAACCACTAACCAATTACTTTGATAAAAGTCTCCCAGATATTCACATGTAAAAACATTTCTGCAGTCTGTTGCTTTCACAGCAACAAAAGTAGGCATGCTACTTGGATGATGAGTCAATGAGCAAGTGATAGCATTTTGTTTTTTCAATTGTCAAATTGCAATAAATTTAACAAAAGAAAACAGTTAACAACATAAGGGACCCTCCTTCCTGGACGATCTTGTGTCTTCACTTAGCTCAGAGAAATACAGAGCAGTAAAATCAGACAAGTCAAGTCTTGCACAGCAAGTCTTTCTGAATCATTTGTGAACTCCTTTGTAGGGGGTTTGACTGAATTTGTCAAAGGAGGAGAGGCTGTCTTTCACCACGAAAGTAGGAACCCTTCCACTCTTCGAAAAGACAACAGGGGCACCTGGGTGGCTCAGTCAGTTAAATGTCCAACTCCTGATTTCAGTTCACGTCTTGATCTCAGGGTTGTGAGTTCAAGCCCTGCACTGAGCTCCATGCTGAACGTGGAGCCTACTTAAAACAACAACAACAACAACAACAACAACAACAACAAAACCAAAATGCAAAATCAATAAAACCTGCTTTGTATATAAAAACCAGCATTTCAGGGGCACCTGGGTGGCTCAGTGGGTTAAAGCCTCTGCCTTCGGCTCAGGTCATGATCTCAGGGTCCTGGGATCGAGCCCCGCATCGGACTCTCTGCTCAGTGGAGAGCCTGCTTCCTTCTCTCTCTCTCTCTGCCTGCCTCTCTGCCTACATGTGATCTCTGTCTGTCAAATAAATAAATAAAAATCTTAAAAAAAAAAAAAAAAAAAACAGCATTTCAGGGGCACCTGGGTGGCTCAGTTGGTTAAGCGACTGCCTTCAGCCCAGGTCATGATCCCAGGGTCCTGGCATCAAGCCCCATGTTGGGCTCCATGCCCGCCAGGGAGTCTGCTTCTCCCTCTTCCTCTGCTTGCAACTGTACCTGCTTGTGCTCTCTCTCTTTCAATAAATCTTTTTTTTAAAAAAATCAGTATTTTAGACAAATATATATCTTCTAAGGAAGACATTCCCTTTACCAGAGGCAGATACAGATTGAAGAAAGAATATAAAGAAGGGAAATTATTGAGCATGGCTTAAAGGCCTCAACCAATCACATTTCTTCCCATATACCACCACCCAAATCACCAAAGCTCTTCCAAATGGAACTTTTCACTCATTTGTTTTCGAGACAACATGTCTCTGCACGCACTATTCCCCCCTCACTATTCTCGAAATACTCATATTTTAAGTCTTATTCCTGGCTCCCCCCAGTAGAGTAAATTCTCTAGACACCTAATTCTTTTTTTTATTTTCAATTTTTTTTTAAGATTTTATTTATTCGTCAGAGAGAGGCAGAGTAAGGGCAAGAGAATGGCAGGCAGAGGGAGAAGGAGGATCCCTGCTGAGCAAGGAGCCTGATGAGGGACTCCATCCCAGGACCCTGAGATCATGACCTGAGCTGAGTAGACACTTAACTGACTGAGCCACCCAGGCATCCCAACTCCTAATCCTTCTAGTTGACATATTTATTATAACTTATATGCTTATGTACCTACCTCATTAGCAGAGGAGCTATTTGGGGGCAAAAATCTAAACCTTTTTTTTTTTTTTTTTTTTTTTTTTTACTTCTGTGCCCTAGATAAAGGGGCTAGAACACAGCAAATGCTAAACTCTTGTTAAATGCTCACTGAGGAGAGATATATGGTCTAGGAGTTTACATTAAGTGAGAAAGCTCAAAGGACCCAGAGGAGCAAACATGAGCATTTAGAACACCACTACAAATGTCCAATGAAAATTCCCACCTTGAAAATTGCTCAAACCGAATAGTGGGGACACTGATGTTAAAGGAAACATTTCCCCCTTCCTTCTCATTGCTTTTCTCCATCCCAACAGGAATGCCACCTCTAAAAAGTTTCTCATAGAAACACACACAGAACAGTGAAATTGGACCCCTGTCTCACAATACTCACAAAAATTAACTTGTAATAGATCAAGGACTTTAATGTAAAACTTGCTACCTAAGGCTCCCAGAATAAGACACAGAGAAGAAGCTTATCAGTACTGGTCTTGGCAATGATTTTGTGGACATGACACCAAAAGTACAACAACAAAAGCAAAAATCAATAAATGGAACTACATCAAACTCAAAAGCTTCTGCACAAAAAGAAAGAAAATGAAAAGAAAATGTACAGAATGGGAGATAATTTTTGCAAACCATATACTGGATAAGGGATTAATATCCAAGATATATGAAGAACTCTGTCAACATAATAAAAAAAAAAAAATCTGATTCAAAAATGAGAAGAACTAAGCAGACATTTTTCCAAAGAGGATCGCAAAATGACCAAAAGGCAGGTGAAAGCTACTCAACATTATTACTCATCAGGGAAATGCAAATCAAACCCACATGAGCTATCACCTTACTTCTCCTAGATTGGTTTTCATCAAGAACACAAAAGACAAGAGATGCTGGCGAGGATGTGGTGAAAGGGGAACTCATACATTGTTGGTAGAAATGTAAGTTGGTTCAAACACTATGATAAATAATATGTAGATTCTTCAAAAACTTAAAAATAGATCTACCATATAATCCAGCAATTCCATTTCTGGGTATATACCCAAAGGAAATGAAAGCAGAATTTTGACCAGAAATACATACTCTCATGTTTACTGCAACATTATTCATAATAGCCAAGATTTGGAAACAACTCAAATGAATGGATAAAAAAGATGTGGTATATATACAATGGAATATTATTCAGCATGAGAAAGGAGAATATCTTTCCATTTGCAACAACATGAATGGACCTTAAACTATTATGCTAAGCAAGATAATTCAGGTAGAGAAAGACTATATGATATCATTTATATGTGGAATCCAAATAAGTTAAATCTGTAAAAAGAATAAAATGGTGGCTACCAGGAAATGGTGGGGAGGGATAAGATTAAAGCAGTTTAAGGGTACCAATTTGTAATGAGCCACAGAAATCTAATACACAGTCTAATAAACACAGACAACAATATTATACTATAATTATACAATGTGATAAATATTGTTACATTAGGGATAATATATAAGGGTATCAAAGTAAATTGCTATATGATTTAAACTTACACAATGTTACACATCAAATTTATGCAAATAAAAATAAAAAGTTCTCATAAAAATAGCCAAAGAAGAATTTGGAAAATTGTTCCTTATGGAGTTCCTTGTCCTCTCAGAAAGTAGAATGGCACATGTCTCTACTTTCAATCATTTCCTAAGAAAATTCATTAGTCTATAAAACTTTTCTAGTGTGATGGACACAGCTGCTGAAGAAGAAATGGTAACATATTCAGAGAAATTGTTCCTGGAAATTTCTGACCTAAAATTTACTGAAAAAACCAAAAATGATTACTTTCCATACAAAGCCACCTTGAATTTTTTTTAAAGTAATTAACATTTAAGGAAAGAGTAACTCCATTCCTATTTTCCTATACAGATGAAGTAGGAATATAAATTCTTTACTTTCTTTTGAAAAAATCGTAACAGGTACTTATAATAGTTCATTACTTCTTTCTAAGATTCGTAAAACAAAATCCATTTTGAATAGCACCTTCACACTTCAACAAATACAGAAATTAAAGTGTCAATCACCTTATTTTTGACATATAACTAAATTCCACAGCTGTGCAACTTATATGCCCATCAGTCATCTGCAAACGCAGCATTCTTGGTGCAGCCTGAGATTCTTCATTGTCCTTTGGTGCAGCAACATTGCGAATTTTTTGAATTTGCAAAACACATGGACCTTCAAGCTGTCAAAATACAAAGGAATAAATATCACTTTCTAGCCATGGCATTATTTTTCATTTATTCTGTTTCCCTCTTCCTTAATGGTCATACTTCATGATTTATAATAATTTCAATTAAATAAGGTCAAAAGTAAAATTACATAACATACATCAGGATTTGGGGGGATTTAAAGATAAAACTTCAAAAGGGTCTCCCGAATTCATTAATTCTGAATGCATTTTCAGAAAGTAATGAGAAAACCTGAGGAAAACCAAGTTTTATTTCTGGATTAAAGGTGTATTAATAGATGTTTTTAGTATTACGTGCTCTAAATTACTCATATGCACCCCCCCATCTTCTCCCATGTACATTAAGGGACAATCTGGAATTAAAGAACTTGGTAATTTTTTTTTAAAGATTTTATTTATTTATTTGACAGAGAGAGAGAGATCACAAGTAGGCAGAGAGGCAGGGGAGTGTGGCAGGAGAGAAACAGGCTCCCTGCTGAGCAGAGAGCTGGATGCAGGGCTCCATCCCAGGACCCTGGGATCATGACCTGAGCCAAAGGCAGAGGCTTAACCCACTGAGTCACCCGGGCATCCCTAAGAACTTGGTAATTTTTTAAGGGACATCAACGTACCACCATCAGCTGGAAGGAGTATATACTGTTTAAAAACAGTAGGTTTAAAGCACGCCCTCTTCTGGCATTAATGAAGAATACAGTACTCCAAAATTTAAACAATATAAAATTCAAAAAGTGTGAGCTGTACTGGATGTATTTTCACATTATCTTTTTAAGTAAATTTAAATCTAATGCTGTATTACATGCCTGGCACTAAAGAGAAGAAATGCTCTCTCTGGCCACATTTCAATCAAAACCAAAAATAAAATTGATGGACTAATCAGCTCTTACAAATTTTATATAACAAAATGCCTCTGATATAATTGGGAAATGCTGGTAAAATCTGTTTACATGGCTGAAAAATAACTTTATTACAAAGTGATATTTTCTACATTATAAAATATTATACCTTTCAGTAGTATCATACCTACAAAGGAAAAAAAAAAGGCTACTTTTTTGTTACATAGTGTTAAGTAAAATCTTTCTGTGCATAATAATATAATTTATATTTTCAGCAAAGAAAAATGTGAAATGATTGACAAACATTTACACTTAATTTCTTGAGTAAGCATGTCCCTAATTAACAAATTTCTACTTCATATTTACCAGTATTTTGCCTATAGGGAAATAATTTTGATATATATTTAGTCCTAAAGAATATAATTAGAAAAAAGAGACTAAAATTTCATCTAATTTTCAGTTACAAAAAAAAATTCCAACTTAAAACAAGTCCAAAATCTTTAATAAGTACAGATAAACTGCAAATTCAGGATGAACTTTTTCTTTTGCTTTGTTAATGTCATTAAAATAAGGACATTTAAATTAAACCATAGACAGGTTATACTTATTATAATGTTTACTATCCTCTTTTATTTTTCTACTCCTAATATTTTTAGCTTAGACATTAATGAATATACAGCTTGTGCCGTCCAACCATATGCGACTACCTAAATTTATATTTAAATTAAGTGAAATTTAAAATTCAACTCTTGAGTAACATTAACCATATTTCAACCATATGCAACTCTTGAGTAACATTATCCGTATTTCAAATGTTCTGTGTCTGGACAACACAAATATAAACTACCTACATCACTAAAAAGTTCTATTAGATGATCGATGATCTAGATCTATGCGTTCCAAAGTGAGACACATGTATTTTAGGGAGAGCACATCCATTGAATATTGACAGGAAAACTTTTGCTTCTGTTTAATTCTTAGTAAGAAAGAAATTAAACTTTCCTAGGATTTCTTATCCAGCATGACAAGGGCACTCTAACTTGGTCACATGAAATACAGATCGCAATGTATCTTTATGGAATTACAGAGTCCTAAGACATTGATTCTAGACTTCTGGCCTACAGAACTGCGAGAGAATAAATTTTTGTGTTTCACGCCACCAAGTTTGTGGTAATTTGTTACAGGAACCTTAGGAAATGAGTATACCCACTCATGCAATGACTTATCTGATTGGGAAAAATATACCGTATATACTGGGCTCAAACTGGGCTCATCCTCACCCTTCTTTTTATTGGGATCTAGCTAGGAACTCTGAGGTATTTTCTCAGGCTCTTCACTGGATTGACACTACTGTGAAGGAGTTGTCTAAGTCTGTCTGGTTTGTGGTTCAGTTAGTCCATTCACCTCTCCCACTAAATCACATCCTTCAAAGTAATTTTCATTAATAATAAAGTTGATATTTTGGCCCACATCTCCCACACTTTACTTCTCAACTGATTCAAAAGCAAAGCAGAAAAGGAGGTACTATTTATTAGACTCTTCTTAGAAGAGTCTACAATCTTTTCATGGTCACTTCTCCAGGAGAATTATCAAGCCTTAATATTAGTTATTCCACAATTCAGAAATGTTCTATATGTAAGCCAACAGATATAATGAATATTTTCATTATTATGTTTACAAAATTCAGCTTATTATACTCTGTAGTAAACAAAATACTAGAAGTATGGGACCTAAATAAAACACAAATAGTAGGATAAAATGCTATAGTTCTAAGATTATAAATCCTAACTTTAAATTCTGAATCTAAGTGACTCAGCTGGTTGAGCATCCAACTCTTAATTTTGGTTCAGGTTAAGATCTAGGCATCATGAGATCAAATCCAGCTTTGGGTTCCACGCTCAGTGGGAAATCTGCTTTCCCCTCTCCCTTTGCCTCTCCCCCTGCTTCTGCATTCTCTTTTTCTCTCTCTCTAAAATAAATAAATAAGTCTTTAAAAAATAAATAAAATCATCTAAAGGCATCCACAATAACGAATGAAAATTAACCTCAAAATCTGTGTCCAACTAGTGTCAAGGGCAACCCCAAAGTAAAAAAAGATATAAATTCTAGATGAAAATAATAAAAAACAAAGATTAATCTGTATACAGTGTTAGAAATTTCAGAACATTGGTCACATTATCCATTCAGGCATCTACAGTTAAATCTTAATTTAGTGGACATTTTCCGCCAGAGAAGATCTATGTGTGCTTCTCGCAGTAACAACCCTGCAATTGAGAGAGACTCAACTTTGGGCTAGTGGAAAAGTAGCAAAATTAACCTTAGCCAAAACCTCATAGCACCCCCACTAGCTCCAGATATTCCTTCTAGAAGAAAGCACTGCTGATTCAGGTGTCCAGAAATCCCACATAGACAGATCAAGAAACATGAAATCACAAGAAAATATCAAGAGACTCATAAGGAAACAAGCCATAAAGCATGAGAATCATAGAAAAATTAAAAATTAAAAAAATTAAGTCTCAAGGCCTGTGGAATTTGGAATTATCAAAAACAGACTACAAAATAATAAGCCTGCTCTAGAGAATTTATATAGCTTGTATTAGAAGAGAGAGAAGAAAATTAATGAGCTAAACTAACAAGTTATGAAAAGAACAACAGACTGAGCTCAAATAAGGTAGAAGAAGATAATATAGAGAAATTAATGAAATAAACAAATTCAAGCTTAGCAAAGACTAGTGTTGATTCTTCACAAAGACTAATGAAACTGATACTGAACAGGACTGATCAAGAAGCAGAGAGTAAAGATGCCAATCAGTGACTTAAGAGGTAATATTAATAAAAACATTCAACATACTTTCATCAGCAGTGGAAAAATACAAGAGAACTATGCAGAGCAGTTTAAATATCCATCAACTAGTAAATGAAAAGAAGAAAGTGGTATATCCATACAATGGAATACTAATCAGCAATAAATAGAAACAAACTACTGACATATTAACCTCAAAAACATTCACTAAGTTAAAGACGCCAGATACAAGAGAGTATATACGGTGTGTCTGCACTCATGTGAAATGTCAACAAAAGGCAAATTTATAAAGAAAGCATAAAAGAATATACAGATATAATATTAAGAATAACAAGTACAAGTTAGTAGAATTTAAGATCAATAGACAATTATCAGAGAGAAAAATTAGTAATTTTTTAAAAACACCATTTACAGCAGCAAAAATAAAATACTCCAGGATTAAAGCTTACAAAAGATACAAGACCTCTGTACTTTCATAAATTATAAAACTATGGAAAAACTAAATAAATGAAGAGATACATCTAGGAGTGTGCTAGAGGCAGCTCATACCAGTTCACAAGACCCTATTATGCAAATTTCTTCCCAATTCTGGCATCAGTGATTTCATAGTGTAGCTTATAATCAGCCGTGTTGATAAAACTCTTGCTACAAAAAGTAGCAAATGCTATGTATCATGTATTTTCTTCTCTTCACAGAGGAAGAGAAACGACAGGAAAAGAAACAAGTCAGGAAATGACAGATGCTGGCAAGGATGTGGAGAAAGGGGAACCTTCCTACACTGTTGGTGGGAATGCCAGCTGGTGCAACCACTCTGCAAAACAGCATGGAGGTTCCTCAAAAAGTTGAAAATAGAGCTACCCTATGACCCAGCAATTGCACTACTGGGTATTTACCCTAAAGATACAAACGTAGTAATCCAAAGGGGCACGTGCACCCGAATGTTTATAGCAGCAATGTCTACAATAGCCAAACTATGGAAAGAACCTAGATGTCCATCAACAGATGAATGGATAAAGAAGAAGTGGTATATATATACAATGGAATACTATGCACACATCAAAAGAAATGAAATCTTGCCATTTGTGATGACATGGATGGAACTAGAGGTATTATGCTCAGCAAAATAAATCAATCGGAGAAAGACAACTATCATATGATCTCCCTGATATGAGGAAGTGGAGATGAAACGTGGGAGGTTTGGGGAGTAGGAAAAGAATAAATGAAACAAGATGGGCTCGGGAGGGAGACAAACCATAAGAGACTCTTAATCTCACAAAACAAACTGAGGGTTGCTGCGGGGGAGGGGGTTTGGGAGAGGGGGGGTGGAGCTATGGACATTGGGGAGAGTATGTGCTATG